TGCAATTTGGATAGAGGTTGCAGAGGCAGAGGCCTCAGATTGGGGGCGGGTATGCGTCTGGAGAGGAGGACAGCTGAGCCATGGCCGTGGGACCAGGAAGACCAGCAGTTAGGACACCTGACAGGGAATTCCAGCCCTGCTCAAAATAAACGGGCAGGTGTGAGCTTTTCTATTTGAAACTAAATCTCTGCAGCACATGGAGAACCACCCTGGTGACCTAAAGATCCCAGCCCTCGTCCCACCTTGGGGAAAGGAGAGAGCTGAATCAGTGTTTAGGGACATGGTACCTAGCAAGGGTCGTGGCCCAAAGGGCCCTTTCTATAGAAGTGACGTTCTGGAGAAAACTGGGCTGGAGGACAGAAGCCCCTCCCCCTGGGTCTGATGGCTCTTCCCTGGAAGGCTGACCACTCTCTGGCGGTCAGTTCAGTCCAAGGCTAGGCACCAGGCCGCAGTCAGCCTGCCCTCGGGGAAGAGTGGCGGGGACTCCTCGGACTTTAGACGGGAGGCAGAGAGCTGGCCCTGCATCATTTTAAAGACCGCCTCGGTGTGTTTCGAATTATTGTCTGTCTCCTCAGTGCCAGGCGGGCACTGGGTGCTGGAGGCCCTGGGCTGAATTCCCAGGAATGCTGGTTCTGTCAGGGAGCTTGTCAAAGTAGAATAGAACCTCTGGGTTCCTCTCCATTCTCCACCGACAGACCACAGTTCCTCTCAATATAGCTCATTGATAAGGCCATGACAGGGTAGGAACTTTAACCACGGGCTCCCAGGCAACCTCGGCCAAGCCCTGGCAACGTTTAATTAAATCACCCACTGTCCCCTAAGCCTTAGTTTGAAGCTGGGAACCAGAAACATCCCCACAAACAAAGGAGAGCTGGAAGTCCCCTGCGTAGAGGCGATTCCTCTCTTTTTTCCATGGCCCCTCTATGTGGGGACATTTCCTGAGATGGGAGCTTTGTGTGGGTTTTTTTCCAGAAGTAGCCTGCCCTGCTGCCAAGGGAGTCCTCAGACTCTCAGCTCTCCTGCGCTCTGGCCTCATCCAGCCTGTCTCCAGGGAGATGCCTAGGAGGCTGCAGACACCCTCTGCTCCTCTGTTTGCCCTGGCCCTTCTCCCCAGACAGCCTCCAGTCTGGGCTTATTTGCATTCCATGCTGGTCTCCTCCAAGCATTTGGGGCTAGTGAATGTGGACCATGGGGTGAGACAGAGGCGACTGGGTCTTGGCTGCTTCCGAAAGCCTTGGTTGGGTCCTCTCCCCCTTCAGTCATTTTCCCTGCCTGGGCTGACCTTCTCCTGTTGTAGGACAGTGACTGGGGGCTCTGTACTTCAGCATCTCTTCCCTCCTTGTCTCCCAGTGCACTCGCTCACTGCCATCTCCAGGGCCTAGGCAGGAGGGTGGGGGAAGCCCCGGGCCGGGAGTGGGGGATCTGACTCGGGCTCTCATCCCAGACTCACTGGCTTACAGTGTGACCTTGAACAGGTCCCTTAACTGCTCAGGCCTCATTTTCCTCGCAGAAGGAACAGGCTTAAGGTTCCTTGGGGCTCCTTTCTCTCCTATGGGCATGTGAACGGGTTTGGCCCTTGCACCAGTGAAGATGCTGGTGTGAGGGAGGGATCTTTCCAGCTCCAAGTCTTCTGTGCACCTGTGGCCTCTTTTATGTCTTTCCTGTGGGGAGAGGGTCAGACGGTGAGAGATTTGAAGGGTTTGACAGAAGCTTGACTTTTAGGCCCCCACAATACCCTCCATCCTCTGTGAGCGCAGGAACGGAGGAGGCGAAGGGCCTGATGACCACATGACAGTTACAATATAGGGGATGCCCCAAGCACGTCGCACATGTGATCTTGTTTAATTCTCCCAGCAGCCGTATGAAAGACCTATTGTTCCTATTTTATAGGAAAGGAAGCACGTTGAAAGAGATTAAGTTTTTCAAAAGTCTGCAGCCAGCCAGTGGCGGAGCTGAGGTTCCAAATCGAGTGCGCCATGCCCTACTCCTTTCTGTGGTGAACCTGTAGGGAGCACCAACTTCATGCAGGCGCTGTCCCAGGCATGTCGGGTGTCACAGTAGCAAACCGAAGTTTTTGCCCTTGTGGAACATTCTAGGAAGGGTGACGGGTACTGGGATTTCCTGGGCACAGCAAACGCTCTAACACAGTGTTGCATAGATCAGGGTGAAATGCCTTAGAGACCTCAGGTCATTCTTAGAAAGGGTTGTCTCACGTCTTCTGGAAGCCGAAATATCTTGGGAGCTTTGAGGTGCAGGTGTCTGAGTTGCCAAGAAAAACTGATTTTCTTTCTCTTTCTTCCTCCTTAGCCTGGGAACACCCTTTATCGCTACCCCATGGGAGGCCTTTTCCTTGGGTCACTGTACCTTAGGACCCAGTGGATTTCCTCAGATCATCTAGTTCACGGTCCTGGTTCCAGAAGGTCCAGGACTCGCCCATTCCAGGTGGATGGGCTCGGAAAATAATCAGAGAATTAAGTCCCACCAACTCTCTTGTCCCACAACTTTGGTTCTAAGGCTTGCCTTCTGCCCAGGGCTGGACGGCATGGTACCCGGGAGTTTCTGAAGCAGGTGATCCTGGAACCCCTCTTGGAAAGCATTCAGCTCCTCATGATCAAGTCCTACCCATTTCCTCTCTGTAGGGTCCCTCCAGCCTGTCACCTCCCTTTCATTTTCACTCCCTCATAACTCCCTCATAACTTCTCACTTAGAATTAATTAACAGCAGCTCTGGTCTTGTCACTTCTCTGTGTCACAAACTTCACTGGCTCCTCATTGCCTACAAATGAAACCCATCACAGCCTGGCGGACCTTTGCCTTTTCTGCCTATTGAAATTCTCCTTATCTTTCAGGTCTTATGCTATTTGTCATCCATTTCTTGAAATGCTCTCCAAACCATCATTTCTTTATTAAATATTTAATTGATATTTATCAAGCTCCTAGGACATTCTAGGAACGGGGGACACAGCCCTGAGCAAACACCTGGATGGCCACTGTTGTGGGGTTGGACTCCAGTGAAGGGAGACAGACTTTCATCAAATTAATCACACAAATAAATGTGTAATTGCACATCAAGATAAATGCTATAAGAAAAGCAGGAATGGGAATTTGACCTGGTCAGGGCAGCGCAGAGGAAATCTGAAGGATGAGCAGTGAGGAGGATTGCCGGAGTGTTTGCGGGGAGGGACCAGCATTGTGAAAAGGCCCAGAGAAGCACGGCAGGGAACCAGGCTGAAGGAGGCGGGGTGGCAGAAATGTGGGCAGAGTGTCTAAGATGTGAGGCCGGTGGGTGGAGGGGATCTCAGTCCTGACCTCAGGAAATCATGGGAAAGATTTGAGCACGGTGGGGATGTGGTCAGATTTTCTACCAGCATGCATTTTGTTGGCACCCTTCCTGTGGCTCTTCTGTCTCATAGTCATTCGCACACCTGTCTTGTTTTAGACTGTAAGCTATTTGAGGGGTGCCTAGGTCTTGGCATTCCTCACAGCAGCTAGCAGGTGCTCAGCATATGAGATACATGATGAGATGCCAAAGTAGCCAGCAGTTGCCAATCCCAGCACTTTATGGAGCTCTCATTACTGCCAGGCGCTGCAGTGGGCACTAGAAAGCAAAGACCTACACCGTGGTGTCCACACCTCCACTTAAGGCACCGGCATGGAAAGTGCTGAGACCCTGGTGCACCCCAGACTTCCCCAGGGTGGGGCCTGGACTGGGAGAACCTTTCANATGAGATACATGATGAGATGCCAAAGTAGCCAGCAGTTGCCAATCCCAGCACTTTATGGAGCTCTCATTACTGCCAGGCGCTGCAGTGGGCACTAGAAAGCAAAGACCTACACCGTGGTGTCCACACCTCCACTTAAGGCACCGGCATGGAAAGTGCTGAGACCCTGGTGCACCCCAGACTTCCCCAGGGTGGGGCCCGGACTGGGAGAACCTTTCGAGAAATGGCTGGCAAATGGCATAGGACCCGAATGACCAGGAGAATTTCAATAGGCAAAACAGGCAAAGGAAGGCATTTCTGCAGAAGGGTCTTGGTGAATAACAGGGGAAGGTCCGGGGACTCTGAGGGGCCCATGAGGACAGAGGGGGCATCTGCTTGTCAGGAGTGGAGGCAGGACAGCACAGAGGAAGATAAACCAGGAGGCTTGCGAGAGCCAGGGCTTGGTCTCCGGAAGCTCTGGGGCGATTCCCGGGCACCTCTGGGATAGGTAACCCTGGTGTAAAAATGCCCTTTAAGCGCCCCTGTGAAAATTGGTCAAGTGCATTGTCCCTGCTACTCTGGAAAGAGTATGAAAGTGTCATTTAAGCTCTCTAAACTCAATTTCCTCATCTCTGAGTGGTGTTTCATGGGATTGCCATGAAGATCATGTGGTCTGGGATAGGTGAAGGAGCTTTCTAAATATTAAGGTAGTGCAAATATGAGTTATATGGAAACTTTCTTTTTTTCCTACTCCTCCCCCCCCCTCAGTCTCCCTCTCTCTCTGTCTCTCTCTCTCACACACACACACAGCATCCCCTGAACTAAACTTTCCCCAGGACTCCTCCATCCTGCTTAGACATATAATAGAAAAGAAACTGCAATAATCATCTTTTCTTGAGCTCTTGCCATGTGACAGGTGTTATTTCAGTGCTTTATATTCACGCCTTCATTTCATCTTCAAATTCACTCTTTGAAGTAGCTTCCCCTGGCCCCAAACAGATGAGGAAACTGAGGCTTAACCACACAGCTGGAAGGGGCGGGACCTCTGCTGTGGGACACAAAGCCTGCACCCGCTCTTTGTTCCCCAGCGAGCTGGCTACTTAGGAAGGAAATGGAGGCAAACCAGGGGACTATGGGCTCCCCCCTTCCTCTTGTCCTGCCAGCTACCCCCATGTCCCCCAGCAGAGGTCCTGCTGCTGAATAGGGGATTGTTCTGCTTCTCCCTCCTGCCTCTGAATGTGGATGTTTTGGGTCATTAAGGGGCTTGGAGATGGGGTGGAGGGTGGGTTATGACCCTGGCAAAGGCCTGAATAGCCATTGTTCCTTTTCTTCCCCCCTTGAATGGGATTCTGTCCCCAGTCCTGGTGTCTTCCTCTGGGTTGGAGGAGGGGTGGTCGGGGGCCGGAGAAGGGGAGCCTTTTCCCACTGCTTTGATGGGTCGGGCTCAAGATGACAGGTTGAGCTCTTTCAGGCAAGCTGCAGCTCTCACCAGTGTCCCCACCCTGCCTTGAGCTGGGCATCTTCAGCCTTGGTGACACCCATGAAGTGAGCCCTAGTCGGGTCTGAATTCAGGTTTGGGGCAGGTAGGGGAGAAAGAGGCAACAGCTGCAGACTTAGTGTTCCCTTCCGGTCCTGCAGGCTCATTTCCGCTGTACTATTCCCCAGCGATGACCTTGGCCTTGTCCCTACCCCCTACCCCCACCCAGCAAGACTGTAACAACTAAGACGATCTTCTCTTGAGGCGGGTTTGCGCTTCTCAAAAGGAAGACATTTGACACATAGAAAACTAGTCTTATGGCCGTTATTGTTGTTGTTGAAATACGACTCGATGCTGGGAAACTTGGGAGCCTGCCCTCAACCTGAAGTTCCTTTCTCTTCTCACAGTCACAGGCCACTGGGCGGCCACTGCCTCTGGGCAGCCTTCCTGGCCGGGGGCAGAGTCTTCCTCTGCCCTCTGGTCTCCTGGGGCCTCTGTTCTTTTCCTCCATCACCCTAGAGGCAGGGACATTTAGAGGGATGGGGAGAAGGGATATGACGTTTATGAGCACCTGCTGTGCGTCAGGGGCCTTATGTGCCTTAGGGCCAGAAGAAACGCAGAACTTGGCATGTACAGGCGCATATTTGTTGAGTTAATGAGTCACAATTAATTTTCACAAAAACTCAGCAAAGGGGTTATTACCCTGTTCCT